CATAACATCCCAACATGGATACAAGGATGCTATGGGAGACAATATCAAAAGCCTTCCTAAAGTCAAGGTATACAACAGCCATTGCTCTCTCCTCATGCAGAGATCTATACTTTCCACAATGAAATTACATTGGGTTGGTGTTGTGGTTTAACCACAACCAGCAACCAAGTACCACACAGCCACTTGCTCACTCCCCCACCAGCAGGATCAGGGAGAGAATCAGAAGAGTAAAAGCTACATTTTTTTTCTTGCTTGATAGCAAAAGTTTCTTCAGAAGGGGCCAAACATCCCCTGTATCACACTGGGAAGCACAAAAGCCTCAGCAGTCCAGCTACTGTCGGACCCACCTCAAAAACATTTGAGGTGTCACAAATGAGTGTTTAAAGGTCGCTTAAAGAATCACTGGAAAAAGGTATTGGCAAAAGCAGGTTTAATATAAAAGTGGAAGCAGGACAAAGTTTTTTTGGAAGGTTCACTCTACTACTTACTAGATGGTTAAAGCACACAGAGGAAAAGGAAAACAAAAATCTCAATCAATCCAAACCGAAATGAACCCAAAAAATTATCCTCGTGTAGGCGGGGGAAGTGGGGGGGGAGGGAAGAAAAGGATAAGGGTAGGAATGGGTAAGGATAAAAAGGAATAAGGAAGACCCTCCTGTTGAGTCACAAGGTTTAGAGTAGATCCCCTTGCTGAACTGAGCCTCGGACTTGACCAACAGTTTAGGCCTGAAGGTTTTTAACAGCATTTGACAGTACTTAATCAATAGCTTAAGTTAAATAATTTAACAGACGATTCATGTAGAATTTACTACAGCACAACAGTAACTCACAGGCCTAACTTCCTTATGAATCTAACATACTTAAATGTCTAGGACAGCAACATTCCCAGTACATTTTCTATAGCATAGTCACACTTGCATGCACACAGACATAAAGAGCCTGTGTACAAGGTATAATACCTGTGAAGAATTCCCCTCAAATTCAGTGAAATACAGCGACAGATACCAGCTAGACAGGGAACACTGTTGCACAGACCTCCTCGCATAGATAATATTGTTCCATCGCATTCAAAGAAGTCTTAAAAAAACAAAACCAAAAAAATTTAAGTAACCCAAGCAAAAATTTCCCTCCATTTATAATTGGAAGATAAATTAAATCTCTGTTTATAGGCACATAGGCAAGAGGTGACCACTGTGTCACTCTGTGGTGCGAGAGATTTTAAATTTAGTCACAGGATGGATTGTGGTAGTGCATATTCCCCCCCACCCCCCAGGCCACAGTATGATCTCAGAAATGCTTGTTAGGCCTTGGCCTTGACAAACAGCACCTGGGCTAAACTGCTCTTGAGCTTATCAGAAACATTCTCTGCTCTGAGGAACTAACAGGTGTCTAACGAGCTCCTGTTTTTAGTGAACAGCTTTGGAAGCTTATTTTTCTTGTCTGATTAGCAACCCAAGTGGAATAACATTTTAGTTATCGAACTTTCAAAGAAAGTTACCAACACGAATTGGGGCCAGGATGGACTAAAGACCACTCACTTGCGACCCTATAGACAGCAGTCCAAAGTGAGAGCCTTTGAGCTCTCCTGGACTGCAGCAGCTGCTACCAGCAAACTCCCTCTCAGTGGGGCCTCTCAGAGCCAGCGAACTCTCGTTTGCTGCACTCAGAGGACTGCCGACAAGGGAGCCTAGGCTGATACGCCTGACTCCTTGAGGCTCAACCCTTTGCCTTTAACTTAAGCTATTGATTAAGTACTGTCAAATGCTGTTAAAAACCTTCAGGCCTAAACTGTTGGTCAAGTCCGAGGCTCAGTTCAGCAAGGGGATCTACTCTAAACCTTGTGACTCAACAGGAGGGTCTTCCTTATTCCTTTTTATCCTTACCCATTCCTACCCTTATCCTTTTCTTCCCTCCCCCCCCACTTCCCCCGCCTACACGAGGATAATTTTTTGGGTTCATTTCGGTTTGGATTGATTGAGATTTTTGTTTTCCTTTTCCTCTGTGTGCTTTAACCATCTAGTAAGTAGTAGAGTGAACCTTCCAAAAAAACTTTGTCCTGCTTCCACTTTTATATTAAACCTGCTTTTGCCAATACCTTTTTCCAGTGATTCTTTAAGCGACCTTTAAACACTCATTTGTGACACCTCAAATGTTTTTGAGGTGGGTCCGACAGTAGCTGGACTGCTGAGGCTTTTGTGCTTCCCAGTGTGATACAGGGGATGTTTGGCCCCTTCTGAAGAAACTTTTGCTATCAAGCAAGAAAAAAAATGTAGCTTTTACTCTTCTGATTCTCTCCCTGATCCTGCTGGTGGGGGAGTGAGCAAGTGGCTGTGTGGTACTTGGTTGCTGGTTGTGGTTAAACCACAACACCAACCCAATGTAATTTCATTGTGGAAAGTATAGATCTCTGCATGAGGAGAGAGCAATGGCTGTTGTATACCTTGACTTTAGGAAGGCTTTTGATATTGTCTCCCATAGCATCCTTGTATCCATGTTGGGATGTTATGGTCTAGATGAATGGACTACTAAATGGATGAAAAATTGAGTGGATGATCAGGCTCAAAGGGTCATACTCTACTTGGAGGCCAGTTATAGGTGGAATACTTGCAGGAGTCTATCCTAGGACCTGGCCTGTGCAAGGCCTCTATCGGTGATCTGGTGGAGGTGACAGAATGCACCTCATCAAATTTGTGGATGACACCAAACTCAGGGGTTGCAGTAGATGTGCTCAAGGGTAGGGCTGCCATTCAGGGAGACCTAGACAGACTAGAGGAATGGCCTATCAGGAACCTCATTAAATTTAACAAGGACAACTGCCAAGTCCTGCACCTGGGAAGGAAGAGCCCCTTGCAATGATACAGACTGCATCCAGTTTTGCCTCTTCCCCCAGCAAATTCAGTGACCTTTCCCAAGTTGGTCAGGGAGGTGGAGCGTGGAGCACTTGCCCTATAAGTTGCTGCTAATGGAATTAAGCTTATCACTTAGTGTGACTGACCATGTTTCGTTCTCATCACTGCCCCCCCTTATCATGTCAGTCAAGTTCGTGTTTCTGTATGTTCTTGTCTTGTTATTCCTTTTTGCATTGAAAAGGTCCTTGACCAGATACCCCTAATAGAGCAGATGCTCTCTCCTTCCATATACCCTTACAGTTTCTATGCATTTCCTTTTAAAAAAAAAAAAAACCAACACAAACTTTTCAGCACAACGCAACAACATTCCCCTCCTGTTCCCCAGTAATTTAAAAGTCAGGAAATACCAAATGCTGAAACCAACAGGTTAGCATTTTGCTATTTATTTCCTTCTGCCAGACTCTGAAAAATTCCTTTGTATAAATTAAACAATGGAAAAAAAGTTATTTTAAATTCTACATCATTGCAGTCAACATAACAATGCAATTAAAATGTGTGTCCACAATATCTCAGGTGTACATTTTTAGGAAAAGGAAAAAAACCCCACTTATTAGGCTTGTTAAAAGAATAATGCATTGCAATAATTACATATTATTTGAAAAAATATAGTGATAAATGTCACGATTGTTTCTTTTTTTTTTATTATTTTTTGGTAGCTATTACAAACACTCAATCCAGGTATGAAGCTCTTTAAAGACATTTGAAATGAGTCTAATTAAGAAACAAATACAGGCACAAAATTTATACTTTCCCCTCCAGTGTGTTTTCTACATGATGCTCCCTCCCTCCTCCAAGAAAAGCAACCGTCCCCAAACAAAATAAAAAAATCCTGCAAACCCACAACTGGCAAATCTTTAAAAGCAAAGCACTATGCTTCTCAAGTAGCACTAATTCAACAAATGCAATTTTTGCCATCAATTTTATTTGAAGCTGTCTAGGACAACATTTCCTCAACAGATTCTTTATCTCCCCTCCCCAAACAAACAAACAAACAAACAAAAAGCAAGACAAAGACACATGCATTTCTATAACTAGGTTTTAGTCAATTTTTTCTGACCTTTTTGAATTAAATTCCCTGTTCAAAATCAGAAAATACCATGGGTATCAGATCCTGTATTCCTTATTCAGTCAAAATTGCTGTTGTGATGAGTGGGGTTTACACCAAAGAAAAAGTGCAGGATCAACCACAAGGTGTGTAGATCTCTATTCATTTTATTCTGTTCCCCTCATCCTAAAAGCTAAGGAGAAGGGGGAAAATTAGCAACTCCCATCAGCTCTCCAGACTTAATGTAGTAACTATTTCACTTCTGCTTGCAAAAAGATGCAAGAACTAACATCATTCTCTCCCACTATACCAAAACAAAAAAGCACACCCACCCACCCACCCCACAGACTGGGGCAGGAGGGGAGGAAGAGATGATGAAACCAATCTTGAAAGAAAGTACTGGTGCAAGACCAATAGATGCTCATTTGAAAATTGACAGAATAATTATGAGGACTGGTGTGTTTGGCCCCTAAGCTGCATAGCTGTGCTGTTAGTTTTTGGTTCTTAGTTAAAAAAAACCCACAACTTATTTTTTTTTAAATGCTAAACACAGAAATAAAAAATTTTATAGTCACAGGAACTCTTTTCCCTGTCCTGTTCCCCTCTGGAAAAAAATAACACCACCACTAATTTTACATGAGAAAGTTAATTGTGTCAGTTTTGCAACATTTCAGGCTGATAGGAAATAAACATATGGCAAACAAAACCACACAATCGGTCACATGAAATCCATCAAATACTAATAATGGCCAGTCTTCGCGAGCGAAGATCCGGGGAAGGTCTTTCCACCTTCCAGCCTGCGCATTGGATTTTTTAGGTGAGACACAGTGTGCGCGGAACTGAGCCCACCCTTTAATCCTAAGGTTCATCTGCCGGGGCCAAGCGAGCTTGGACGGTGGCAGCGAGGTCCTTAGGACGTAGGTGGGTTGCCTTTAAGGCTAACGAGCCCCACCTGCCCGGGAGTGGCCCTGACCGGGAATCGAACCCGGGTCTCCGCGGTGATAGCGCGGCGTCTTTACCACTAGACCAGCAGGGGCTCCTCAAATACTAAAATTATAGCTGAATACTAACAAACAGCTTACCTGGAATAAAGGATGGCAATTCCCAAAGCATTATCTAGAAATTAAAGATTCCGTCTTTTTAGTTTTTTTTTTTATTTATTTATTTACTAAAATAATTTTTAAAAATCACAGCATTTTAAGAAATTAAATCCACAGTGGGATTTTAAGCACTATTTGTTTTCCTTTCTTTAAAACTTTTGTTTCTTCCTCCTTTCACCACCTTGCTTAGCAGTCTCTCCAATTATAATGAAAAGAGGCAGTACTAACAAATGCAGATGTCCCTTTGTTAATTTTGAGGTATCAGGAAACGGGTGGTTGTTTTAAGCAAAGCAGTTTCTGTCTTGTTTTTGTTTTCTAAAGCAGGTGCATTCAGTCTGGAAAATCATAATGGATTGAAATTTTAAAAAATGCAGCAAAAGTTGCATGTTGAAAAGTTACATCACCTCCAAACCATGTTCATTATGCTTCTGTTTGCAAACAATACAAGTCTCTGCTGCAAAGCGCATTGTGTAACATAGAGACACAGGGAGTTGTTTCATTAATCCAATATGAATGTAATTTCCCATTGTTTAGATCCAGAAGATGCAGTAATATAATGGAACCACTTATTCCAACATTTAAATAGCTTTAATATACACACACTCACATAGGTACCAGTGCTTTGAAAATAGATCATTCATTCCTAAAAGCAGCTTTGTTTCTTCCTTCTGCCCACCCCACCGGCCCATCCCTTTCCATTCACCACAGTTCAAGTCAGTTGATTAAAATCACACCCAATTTCTATTCATTTTTGGCCTCTGAGGTCTCTTGGCGAGATTTGTTAGCAACTACAACACTGACTTTAGTTTCACTGTTGTGGGTCAAGTCCACCAACATTTGCTCAGTGTTTTCCTTTTCTTCTACTGTCAGTGTATTAACAGTCTTTTCTGTGTTCTCCTTCAGTTTGCTGTCCTCTCTGGTCCCTTGCTTACTTTCATTCAGAGCCCTGAAAATTCAAGCAGCAGAAAATAAAAACATTTACAATCCAAACATGCTTTGGATACAAGGAAATAGGGAGAGTACTTCTCCCAAACAGTTGACAAACCAATACATTTTATCAAAACTTGCAACATTTCAAGTACTTTTATTTAAATAGACAAAAAAAATAATACTTTCTCTTACTCTTTATCCCTCCACAGCCTAGTTACAATATTACATTCAAATGTCTTCCACATGCCAGTAATCCTGGCTGAGAATTATTCAATCCTCTTTGAAGAAACTCTATTCAGCAAAGACATTTGTTCTATTGAACAGATCTTTGTCAAGAGAAGGAAAATTAATGTTCCAGAGCTGCCTATTATTTCACAGCATGGACTGATATTTATGAGCCAACCATGTCCTGGGCTGCATCAAAAGCAGCATGACCAGCAGGTCGAGGGAGGTGATTCTGCCCCTCTGCCCCACTCAGGTGAGATCCCACCTGCAGTGCTGCCTCCAGCTCTGGGGTCCCAGCACGGGAAGGACATGGAGCTGTTGGAGCGAGTCCAGACAAGGCCACAAAGATGCTCTGAGGACTGGAGCCCCTCCTTCTCTGGAGCCAGGCTGGGAGAGCTGGGGCTGTTCACCTGGAGAAAAGAAGGCTCTGGGGAGACCTTAGAGCCCCTTCCAGTGCCTAAAGGGGCTCCAGGAGAGCTGGAGAGGAACAATTTACAAGGGCGCGGAGTGACAGGACAAGGGGGAAATGGCTTTAAACTGAAAGAAGGTAGATTTAGATTAGATAATAGGAAGAAACTCTTCCCAAATCATTCTACGATTCTATGAAAGGAAAAGATCTTTGCTATTAACTTCACCATGTGCTTTTGGGGAGAAAGCACACTTATTGAGATTTTCCTTTACTCGAAGCCCCTAACACTTCTCTGTACATAATTCTTTGCACTGGAACTCCAAGTTTAGTTGCAAGCACGCTAAAGAGAAATAATAAGGAAGAGAAAAAGCAAAAATAAATCCAGATTTCCATATACTTTGCTGCCATTTCCATGTTGCTCTACTGGCAAGCAAACATCAGCAATAGATTCAAGTAATCTTAATTTTGAACCAACAAACTGAACTGGTATTCACCTTGAAATGAAGTTTAAGCTTTAGGATCATAGTAAAGAACATTTATGTGCTACATTTGGATTTGATAACACCAGATTTTAACTCCCAAACAGAGGGAATTTCTGGAACAATCTGTATTCCAAAAACCCTTGACCATCTGTAGATAAAAGTTTCTTTCAGTTTGAGGTCTGATCTAGACTTGAAACTGGAATGGTATTTGGACATATGGAGATATTCAGGTACAGGTTTAAAAACAAGTTACCTTGGATTTCTGGGTTCCTGGGTCAAACAGGATGGACAGAAGCATCTAGTTGAGTAATTACATCTCATAACTGCATCCAACGGTGTTTGTGTTAGACAGAACTCTTCCCTTGTTAGAATAATCTGTCGTATCCCTGTGTTTGCTTTCGTTACATTTTTTGGGGGGGAAGAGAGGAATGAGTGCTGAGATGCACAAAAATCAACTGTTACATTTGGCTGTTATGCAAAGGAGTCTGCAAACCAACTTACATGCCATGCCTCAGCACATGTCGTTCCCACTCAGAGCCCTCTGTAAATGATCGGCCACAGAACTCACATGGAAAACGCTTCTCTAGAGCTCCACCGTCAGCATACGTCACGGACTCTGTGAGAGAACAAAATTATCTGCACACTGATGAGCATCAGGGCAAGAAGGGACCTTTATAATGATCTTCCCTGCTGCCCCTCAGGGGAGGAAAAAATATCCTGAAGCACCAAAAGATTTCCCTTTAGAAAAGTAGATATTTCTGAAATTGTCCTCCCTATCCTAAAAAGGCAAGGTGTGAAAACTCTGTAACCACCACTATGAGAAAAGATCAATTAAGTACAATATGGAAATGGGGGTCGGGGTGGGGAATGGACTTTCAAAATAATTGAGTGCTTCCAACTTAGTGTGGGGACCAGTTAAGCCAGCAGCACCTACATTCAGTTAATCAGGATCAGAAAGGAGTGTTTTGGCCTTGACTGGTGTTTTTGATAAAGAGAGTACTGTGTTCTCAAAGCACTTAATGGTCTGCATGGTCTGCATGCTTTTCCCGTGGCTGAAAACAGTCAAACATGATACGAGTGTGAATGTGTGGGATCAAGGCACTGGTTTAGGATGATCCTGGGAATTCCAGTTAACTAAAAGACAAACACCAGGTGCTGTTTACAAAGGAACCCTAATAAAAGGGGAACGCCAGAAAGATCAGCGGACAAATCCCGAAATCAAACTCTGTGTGGTGGCAGCCTCATTTCTTTCAGCGCCCATACTTAGACACCCACATGAACAACCAAGGTTTCGTATTAATACTGAAAAGTGAACTGAGGTTCTCCAGAGTGACCAGGATTTCAAGCTACAGAGCCATCCTGAAAAGTCAGGACACACACTGCAGCTGAAAAATCCCATCGTCCATCTGTTATATCTATTTGCAGAGATGTTTTAATGCTCCCTGCATTTGAACAATTGAAGAGACTGGGGGGTTTTACGTCAAAACCAGCACTGAGAGTTTAGTGTGGAAATAGCTTCAAAGCAAAACCAAAGGAGAACACTTGAGTCAATATGTAATTTTCAAATCAGTGGAGCAAATCTTAGGAAATGGAGACTTGGTGTACTTGGCATCTGATACTCATCAGAAATTGTCATCCCTTCAATATGAATTCTCTGAATTCTCATGAATAAGAGAATATTACTGAAAGGACAGTGTCTTAACTGCACAGATGATTCATCTGATCCTAATAATTAATACAAATCATTTAGGGTCTCATTTGCAAAAGTGTCAAGCACCTAGCTTTACATTCAAAGTCACTGGCAGCTGAGGGGACAGCATTTCTGAAAGCTAATCCCCATGTGAAACGAGTCAGCTTTAAAAAAGATGAAACGTTTTCTAATAAATTAAGGCTTTAAAAATAATTGCATGGACCATAGACAACCCTACCAGAGGGGATGAGAGAGTGGATCTGATTGTCACCAACGTCAGTGAGCTAATCGGAGACATCAGCCTGGGCTGCAGTGATCATGCGTTGGTGGAGTTCACAGTACTGAGGGATATGGGTGAGGTGAAGAGTAAAGTCAGGACCCTGGACTTTAGAAAAGCAAACTTCCAGCTCTTCAGGGAGATAGTGGGATCCCCTGGGAGACTGCCCTTGGGGACAAGGGAACAGAACAGAGCACGAGAGCTAGTGATCCCCGGGAGCAAGAAATCAGGCAAGGAAGGTGTGGTGGTTTTAATCTAGGCCTTCCTTGGTTACCAGTTTGTAACCAAGGAAGAGGCAGTGTTCCCAGTATTCCATACGATTTTTACGTAAATCGGGGTATAAATAAGAAGGGAAGAGAGGCCTTCACTCTCTTCTCTTCCAGCGGGGTACGGGAACAGTGGGTCCTTGCGTTGGTCTCGCTTATCTAAGGCTGAGGCCTGCAGCGACCGCTGGCCTGCCACGTGGAGGATAGCAGAGTGCTGGCCGTGTGTGCTAATCCTGCTTTTCTAAGGAACGTGGTGAGATTTGTTTTACTAGTTATTTTACTAGTCCTCAGGTTTGATTGCGGATATCTGCTCGGTGTCCCTTCTTTGTCTCCTTTTGTTCCTTTTCCCCTTTCCCTATCCCTTCGGGGGGTGTTTGAATTCCTTTTTGCTGTGTACATAGCATCTTAACTGTAATATGCATCAAATATATATATTTTTTATATAACTAGCTGGATTTTCGGGTTCTTCAATTTACATATTTTTTTCCTTTGCTCTGGGGAAAGAAGGAAGGGGGAAGGGGGGGAGGCTGCTACTGGGGTTTGGGCATTTGGCAGGGAGCCAAGTCCGAACCATCACAGAAGGCAAGAGACTGGCATGGCTGAGTAGGGACCTGCCGGTCAAACTGAAGAGAAAGGAGCAAATGCACAGGCAGTGGAAGCAGGGACAGGTGACCTGGGAAGAGTATAGAGATGAAGTACAGTTGCTGTGGGAAGAAGACTGGGATTAAAATTAAAGAAAAGTGGAAAGTCATCGACACAGTTATAACAGTACGGAAACTATAGGGGGAAAGGCAGTTGCTACTCCCTGAATGGAACGTGGTCAGCATACCTGACCTCCCACACACAGTCTAAGGGGGACTAAACGGAGGGTGGAGCGGAGTGAAGACCCTGCAGCCAGACTCTGTCAAAACCCTTGCAGAGGAGGGAACTCAGTGGTCCTTTTTAGCTGATAATCTGCACAGCAGCTGAAAACCAAGGGAGATAAAGGTAGACGTCTTGCTGGCGAATCAGCAACTGTGGTGAAATCCCTCTCCTTGGACTGACATGTCCCCAGCCCAAGGTTATCTCAGGTACTATACTGAGATATCTGCCCCCAAGGTACGACCACCCCTCACTGAGTAAGATGTATGACTAAAGTCACTCAAGCTTCACCTAAACATAAATAAATAGCATAAAAGTGAGTTAAGAACGGGGACAAGTCGGGGAAGACTCCATCGTAACTTCGGCTGACGGGCTGAACCTGCCTCTCCCCCGTATGGGCCCACTGGGTAAGAACCGTATTCTGTGCGTGCTGAATGATTCTCTTGAGCCAGCTTTCCTTGGGAATTAGAGCTCGTTAGTATGTTGCTTTGAATACATTTTTGCAGTCAGATACTGTCAACGGCAACCCTCGAACCTTAACCTGTCACAATTTTATTAATATAAAGAGTGTTATTCAGTAAAGTGTTAATGTGAGTCTTTCAAGGGTGCTAGCAGTCACCGGCAGTGGGTAACATACTCAAATAAAGGTGTGGAGACCCAGGAGGGGGGTCTCTCTGTTGGCACGTGCCCCTGAACAAGTCAGTTGAACAGCCCTCCGACCTAGTGAACTGTTCAGGGAAGGGTCCCCGTAACGGGATGCTGACAGACTGGTCGGGCGCAAGGATCTTGGTTTTCCTGGGGCGCTGACAGACAACTCAAACACTAAGGGTTGAGGAAATCTCCCCTTTTCACATGACAGTTGTGAAGAGATGGGATCAGGAAGGTCAAGATGAAGCTGGAACTGAACTTGGCAAGGGATGCAAAGAATAACGGGAAGGGCTTCTACAGGTGTGTTAACCAGAAAATGAAAGTGAAAGAAGGTGTACCCCCATTGATAAACATTGCTGGTAAACTGGTAACTATGGTCAAGGAGAAGGCTGAGGTACTTAACAACTTTTTTGCCACAGCCTTCAATGGCAAACCTCTCTTCCCACCCCTCTTGAGTGGATGGACTGCATGATGGGGACTGGGGAGCAGACTGCTTCCCACTCTAAGTGAAGATCATGTTCATGACCACCTGAGGAAGCTGAATGTGCACAAGTCTATGGGACCCGATGAGATGCATCCCAGAGTCCTGAGGGAATTTGGTCGATGCAGTCACTCTCCACGATATTTGAAAAGTCCTGGCAGTCAGATCAAATCCCAGGTGATTCGAAAAAGGGAAACATTGTCCCCATCTTTAAAAAGGGTAGAAAGGAGGACCCTGGGAACTAGTGACCCGTCAGCCTCACCTCTGTGCCTTGGGAAGGTCCATGGAACAGATCCTCCTAGAAGCTATGCTAAGGCACATGGAGGACAGGGAGGTGATTCGGGACAGCCAGCACAGCTTCACCAAGGGCAAGTCCTGCCTGACCAACCTAGTGGCCTTCTAGGATGGAGTGGCTCCATCAGTGAACAAGGGAAGGGCTACAGATATCTATCTGGGAAGTTTATTTATGGGCTTTTTCTCTGCAGATTTAGACACTCCAGTAACAGTATTTGGCTCATAAAAACTGGTGTCATGGTTAATTTAGCCTTAATCAAATAGAGAAAAAAAAAGACATTCTAAGTAATAGGACGTTCCTGCTAAGAAAAAAGCAGAAGCGACTGAGAGATTTTTATGTGGTTTCTTAATACTTACATAATTAGATGCAGTATCGCTTGCAGAATTTCATAGTATTCTTTGTTTCACAGCCACAGTGCAATGCTCTTAAATGAATACAAGCCTTTGAACAAACTATGCTAAAGCCAAAAGGCTCTAAAATGAAACTTCATCTGAAGCTCGGGACTTCCCCATGACTGAACACTTATTCCTACAGACCTGGAGAGTGAAAAATTTGGAAGTGAAAGAATTATCGAGTGCATTGGCACCCATTGTCTCTTACAAACGAACTACAGCCAACGCCCTCAACACAACCACATACTAGCACCTCACTTATATGCAGTGGTAGTTGTTAAAAAACGAGGACATCTCATATATAATCTCATATATATTATTTCCAAATGCCTCACTGAAAACTTCAGGATAACCAATCCATGTAGCAAAGAAGCTGATCCTCTGAATGCTTGATTGCAGTAAAACTCAAAATTAAATCACAGGGACTATTCACAGAAATAAGTATTTGCAGGATAAGGGTTTCAGCCCCCTATCTTTATAATCTGCCAAATGTACTATGACAACAAGAGTATACAATGGTAGAAGAGATCTGACCTAATAAAAAGTCTTTGTTAATGACCCTAACAGTGGCAGTAAGAATTTAATAAAGCATATGCATTTGCACACAAAACAAAATCCCAGAAATGTAAAAATAGTGCTGTGGAGGTTGCAGTTTCAGGGATGCCAGACTGTGGAGGCCTTGGGACCAAGCTCATGTGGCACAACCAGCATGCTCAGCACTCTGCTCTTTCCATCTACTGACAATTGCTGCTCCTGTCAGCAAGGAAAGGGGAAGTAGAAATAACAACTTTGCTGTAGCTCTGAAGTGTTCTTTGCATTGGTCATTCTTTCTCAGAGGCAATAAATATCTCAACTCCATCACACGAAACCAACTGCTGAGTAGAAATGAATGCGTTCATTTAGTCTGTCCTGACCTAAACCACAACACCCACACAGGTAGTAAATTATCACCTCTGTAATCTGATAATTTAAGAATAATTCAGGGTTATTCATACAGCTGGCTCACACTCAGCTCTACTAAGGTTATGCTGTTAGAAGAAGAGAATCCAAAGTGTCTTATGTGAAAGCAGTGACTGATGGCACAACCATCAATACTCTTGAGAAACAACAGCTTCTTCTTGACCTCACAGAACGAGGCCCAGAAAACTAATAGCTTACAAGGGTAGCTACCACTTTTGAAGGGTGAATACATGACTCCAACAATCCTTGAGCCAAGAGATGTCAATAATGGCTTTCTGTTACACTTACTTCCTGAAGGTCTGATAAAGTCCTACTCTCTTTAGGTCACTGTACTATTGGACAGTGCTGTTTTACACCCTATGCTTGATCATAGGCAAAGAAACTTAACGTCTATATGACCTGAAAGGCAACATGCTCCTCCCACCAAAGATAAAAGTTCAATAGACCAAAAGGAATTGGTCCACACTGAGTTCAAATGACATTAATTTGACTTTTGAGATTAGTCTCTGTCGTGGTTTTGCTCACCAGCTAGTGCCTGGGGCTGAGGATGGTTTTGTCCAGATGGATTTCCGGAGAAAAAGGTCAATCAAAACTCTTAGTGACGCCTTTGCTAATTACATATTTAAGAAAACGGAAGAGAAGGTGGTTACGCAGTTGAAATTAGTAGCAGTAGCCATGTAGGAGAGGAGGCAGGCCTCGAGTGGGCCGAGGCCCCCTCCTCCCCCGGCCTGGGCCGGGGGCAGGTGTAGCACTGAAGCCCCGCCTTCTCTCCTGTAAGAGAGTACAGAAAAAAAACTTTAGAGGACTGACTGCTTAGACGAAAAATCGCTGCAGAAGAATTCCGGCAGAAAGATAAGGGACCTCCAAGGTCAAAGCTGGCAGCCGGAGGAGAGAGAAGAAAAGTCGGAAGGGCGGGGGGGGGACTTTCTCCCTCCTTTCGCTCTCTCCCTTCAGCAGGGAAAAGACTGAAAAATAAAATCCTTGCTACCTTTGTAAGATTGTTGGGGTGAGGAGACCCCCATGCGGCTCACAGAAGAGCTTGTGGATGTACAAGGAAGCCGAGACTTCATGAGAAGGACTGAAATGAGGCAGAGTCCTGTTGAAGATTTATGACCCCGAGAGGGATGAGGCTTACGCCGGAGTGAGAACGGCTCGGGTAAGTTTGGGATCTCAGTGAGAGATCCATGCTGCTGCTGTTGGAAATTTGTGACCCTGAGAGAACCTACGCTGGAGCAAGAAGGGCTCGGGTAGGGATGTTGGGATCCGTGTGTGGGATCCATGCTGCTGCTGAAGATTTATGACCCTGAGAGAAAGGCTTACACTGGAGTGAGAACGGCTCGGGTAAGCTTGGGATCCAAGTGAGGGATCCATGCTAGACCCATGTCGGAGAGGTCTATCAAGGACTGTTCTCCCGTGGGGAGGGACCTCACAGAAAAACAGGGGTGGACTCATAAGCCATTATCCCCTGTGATCCTGTGGTGAAAATCCATGGTAGGCAAGTGTCCCCTTGCAAGTCCATGAAAGAGAAAACCTTCAGGGTCTGGGTAACCCCCCAGCCTCCGGTCTAAGCCCAGGAGGGGGGTAGGCCCTGCATAGGAAGCGAGAAATTTATCTCCAGGATGGGGGAAGCTTATCTATAAAAGGTACCCCCACCAAGCCTGGGCAGTGCCCCCAGGACACTGGACACCCCATCAGTTGGATCAACACTGGAGCCAGGGCTGGCGATTCCTTCCTTTCTGCCTTCCTTCCTTCCTGCCTTCCTTCCTCCCTCCCTCCCTCCCTCCCTTCTTTCCTCCATCCCCCTCTCTCCCTTCCCTTTCACCCCACCCCTTTATCCAAACCCACTGTCATGTGCTTATAGTGGGATATCATGGACTAACACGCCAATTTCCGTTTAAAGTGTGTAATTTACTAATAAAACTTTGTGAGCTTTTGCAGGTCCTCTGACTTTTGTTGTTCCTTTTGACCACAAGCATCTACGAATCTTGGGTGCTCCTTTCCCCTTAAGGGTGGGACATCACACTGGTCAAGAACTTTCTTGCACTGTTGTAAGTTCTGGTTTTTACAACTGTATGATAGGATAGCAGCACTTCAGCAGTTGAGAGATAACTAACTAGACCAAGGGCTGTCTGGCTACTCTCAATTTCTGATCAGCCATTTGTTAACATTTTAACACTTGTCAAGTTTTTTAACTGGATATAATAGAAGAATGGATTTCAGAGCACATCAGTACTCAGTCTTATATCCTATAGCCAAAGTCACCCAAAATGTAGAAAAACAAGGAAAAAAATAGAATGTGAGATAGGAGTTTCTAATTGTCCTAGGCAAGAAAAATTATCTCTTCTTTATTTATATTGCCATTATTTATTTTCCAATTAATGCTCATCATAAAACACACAAAAATAGATACCAGTAAGATGACACACTCTTTATGGTTATTTCCTTCCTAGACTTCATTGCATTACCAACTAAACTATGTATATATTATATACAATTAGTCCCCTTTTTCATACCTACCATAGTCAGTGACATATCTGAGAAATTATTATCAGTCAGAAATACCAAAGTGACACAGTAAAAAAGTGACAGTTTTCTCCATTCCCAGATCTCCGGGTACTCTGCAAACAATGAACCAGATCTGCCACTCTCACTAATCAGAATCACACTCTGAAGGGTTGGGGATTCCCCCCCACACACCTCCCCTTTTATATTTCAACACACAAAACAGTAGAATCCAGCACCATGACCTTAATTGCCAATATTCCTCTGAAATACTGTATTATGCCTATTTTACACAGGGTTAAAGGAATGCAACAAATTAAGATCAAGATTTCCAGAGGTAACCACTACTACTTTAGTCTCTTAGGTGGTTGGTCAGAGACCTTTAAAACCCAATTTTGAAGAGAGTCACATGCCCACAATTCCAGATGAATATGAAAGAATCTGAAGAATTCAAAGGTAAGTTTAAATAAATAACTATTCAGAGGTCACTATGTTCTCAATAGAAGCAATCTGCCCAACACAACACAAGTAGTCTTTGGAAACAATAAAAAAATCCTTATCTTATTTACAGCATAGACCACAAGATCATCACTAAGCAGTCTCACAAGTCTAGACTGGACTGGAACATCCACCTTGTTCAAATAAAGAAGGAAGAAACTGTCAGTCAGCCATCAAGTGAGTTAATCAACTTTTACCAGTCACTAGAACTTCTACCTCATCTGAGTTAGAAAATACAGAATAAAATTAACAAGGGAAAGAAAGTAGAGCAAATATTTGCTTTTTCTTTAGCTTCATCAACAGACAACTGAAATGACATCCAGACTGCAGCGAGCTTGTTATTAATGATTCCTTTCCCAACTTGACATTAAATTAAAATCTTCAGCAGACCAACAATCTTTCAAGTAATTAAAAAGGTAAATACACCACCCTGCATGTTAAACAGCACTCACTCTTGACCTATATCTATAAGCACATACAGCCTTCTCTGAGCATTTTCATTTATTTTAAAAGCTACCAAAAATACATGTACTTGCTGCTGTAATATAAATTTTCAGTATCTCCTTCCCACATCCTCCTGACTGTTGAAAACCATATTGAGTGTTAGGTAATGGGACATGAAAGCATTGGGAGGCAAATTTAGCTGAGGTCACTTGGCTGGTCAACACTAGCGGATCTGCCAACCACCCTGGTCCTGCCCCTTTGTAGTAGTGTTGCAATATATAAAAGGATGCAGAAGTTTTAATGTTGTTTAAGTGAACATGCTTTCAAAATGGCTTTTACAGTCTTTTTGTAAACTCACCCTTCTTCTTCCCAAGGTTCCTCAGTCTTATCTATACCTTTGGAATGTCTAAGAGATAACTGAAAGCTTATCTATTGGTTGTTAACCCCTTGTGGTCATTGGTTAGTTGTAAGACCTCCTGGACTCCCAGTGGTCACTTTGTAATCCCCTCAAGAGCTATTTAAGTCACTACCCAGAACAATAAACTCTCTCTGCCTCTCTCCTTGCTGTTGCTGTCTTGTGGTCTCTGCGGGGACCATGAAGACCTCGTGGTGGGGGGAGGGAGGGAGCACCTCCCGCTTCAGGACTAGAGGTAAAAGGAAACCTCTTGCCTGGGGTCCCCCTCCCTATCCCCCTTCAACGTTCGTCACTGCCCAAACAAAACCCTGCATCTGCCAGCAACATCATACCACCTTCTCCACCTCTTTGATTAAAGAATTTGTAGCACCTCGTGTGAGAAAGGAGGTGTCATCTCCATGGCACTAGAGGAGATATTCACTGCAGTCTGTGGAGGATCCATGTCAAAACAGATGAATACATTGTGAAGGAGCTGTGGCCCATGGAGAACCCACACTGGAGTAGACTTTTTAACTGAAGGACCGCAGCCTGTGGGAGAGGCACCTGAGCAGGAGAAAAGTGCAAAAGGGAAGGAACAGAAGAGAGGAAATGTTATGTACTGACTATACTCCCCCTTGTGCTGCTCATGGGGAATAGAGGAGTCTGGAGTGAATGAGTGAAGCTAGGCATGTGAAAGAGGAAGGAGGAAAGGTAGTGTTTTAACGTATGTCTTTTTGTTTCTCACTACCTGATTCTATTTTAATTGGCAATAACTTAAATTAATTTCCCTGAGTTGATTCTGTTTTGCCCATGATGGTAACTGGTAAGCAATCTCCTTGCCTTTATCTTGACCCACAAGCCTTCTCATCCTATTCTCCTCTTTCCCCTCTCTGGACTTGTCCCACTGAGGAAGGGGAATGAGTGAGCAGCTGGGTGGGTGTTTGGCCCTTAGCCAAGGCTAATCCACAACAAAAAGTGTTAAGCAAATCATTCAGTTCTGTCACTAACAGACTAGTTTTTACCTGGATCAAGTTTACAAAATGGACTATTTCAGTCCAATAGAGAGAATGTTTATATGACTTTCTACTATGATGCACTCTAAGTACAAAACAACAGCTAGAACAAAATAGCTAAGACACAAAAACATTTTACAACTTAACTAACATTGTTTGTAGATTGTTCATAATCTGTCAAAAGAGGATCTCCTTCCTCTACAATATTTCAAATTCTTCTTTTCAATATTTCAGTGGGTTGTGTTTTTTTAAATTACACATCCATATTTTTTTGTCTGTATGTTTTGGTTAGTGATGGTTTCATAACAGTACAAAGATAGCTAATGAATATTACATAGCTACTCACCAATTTTTTTCCCCCACTGTTTCATTCTACAAAGCAGTGTTCTGCTTATTTGAGAAATTATCTACCAGAACACACAGAGTTACTGAAAATTAGATCAATCTCAAATAATTTTGCAATCCAACAGGTTTTATTTGTAAACTAAAACCTATGAGAGGAATAAAGTATTTATATTTGTTCCCAGGAGTTCTGAACTTTAGGAAATATCTGGATTTTTTTTAGCAACCTTCTTTAAACTGTAGTTTGTATGATAATAAAATTGTAGTCCTTCCCATTTTCTTTGTAAGCCTAAAAATTCAACTTGTCCACTCCTTATGGTCAAATGTATATGTATATGTTTGGACATCTGACAGATGTTAAAATTCCTATCTAAAGTTTCTTAGCTAGCTCTCTTAGAATTCATTCATGGCTTCCAACCATCAATCTTCCTTTAAGTCAAAGGTCACAACACTATTACATGTGGTTCTATCTTTAGTGAATTATAATAATAATTCAAAACAAAAAAAAACACAAATAACCAACCTCCAACACTTCTGCTTGCAGTAGCTCTACTTTCTATCCATCATCCAATTATGTACTCACATTTTTCATATCCTAATCATGCATATATGACATTTTTTACTTTCATATAAAAACATAATTTCAAATTGATGGAAGAATGGTATTGAAAGTTTCTTTAGCTCACTGGTTTATAAAATTTAAAAATAAATTTAAAAGTCCCTTAACTAGTCTTCTGACAGCAAGGTAAACTTCAGTTTGTCTGTGTATAATTGCAGCAAGCAACATCATTAGCAGAAATTCTGAGACTGAAATCTCTTTAGAGAACAATGAAGAATACCCTCATGGAAATAAAATCACCTTCACCACAACTCAAACATTATATCTGTTGTGATGACCTTTGGTTTTATTGGCTATCTGTCACCACGTAGGAGGAATATATAGGCTCTCCCATAAAGATCTTAAATCTCATTTGCTCTTGGATAGCATGTTTCATGTTCAAGTGCAATGCATCTGTATGTCACATTATAGCACTAACACTGAGTTGGTCTCTCAAAATATGAGACAATTCACAATACAAATAAAAGATAAATATCTAAGAATATTCTATACATAATAGAGAATGGGTATTTAGAATCTCACCCAAACCAACACAGTTCAGGGAGGAAATTTCATTTCCTTCAGTGGGTGCTAATTTAGGCCCATACTAAAATTGGCAAATAGCATCCGTCACATGAGGAAAAAACAGTTAATTTTTTCACTCAATGAAAACCCTCTTCACTCAGTCACAGTGTAACATTAAATATATATTAAATGTTACATTCCATGGCCCACCTCACAAAGGACTTAATTTCAAATATAAAAGTCCTTTGTAACATTTTCTTGCTAGACAAAATAAAACAAGCATTAATTTTAATCTTACAGAAACTGGAAATCTAAAGTTCATCGCTAACCATCTCTATTCTTGGTGCATGCATAGAAGCATGGTTACTTGTATTCATTTGCTGATCTCTCATCCTATCATTTCTACTATATATACACATCTATATTTCACATTTCCTCTTGAATTCTTCTGAGTATTCTGATACTTTCCCCATGTAGTTACACTTTAGGATGTTCAGACACTAAAGCATTTAATTTGAAATTTTGAGGAGAACTGTATGCAACCGATGTTTGAATTGATGTTGGTGGGAAAAAAGTAAGGTCATATGTGACACTACTCTAAACTATTACAGATGAAAAAATAGGCTTAAAAAAAAAAAAACTTCCTGTTCATCTGCCATGACATAAAAACTTCCAGCAACATTGTTATGTTTTTAAAAGAAGCATATGGTAAGACACCAAAAAAGGAGCACCATGAAAGTTGCCAATCCCCCTAAGGAATGCATTTATGGTACTGAGAAGCTTCCTGAAAGCTTTCTAGTTTTATAATTTGCAAACTAATGAGTGAAGGAAAATGTTTCATATTAAAATACATTCAGAAAAAGATAATGAGCATCAGAAGGTAAAATGCCAAAACTCAGGCCATCGTCACCGCATAAAAAGAATGTGATTTCATAATGTTCTCTGAAAGAACCTGAGCAGCCTCAGGCTAAAAGCACTTGCCTCCAAATATTATATGCATTACACACACACACACTATTTCTTTATCTAACCGATCAAGCCCTTAAATCCTATTAACTTTAACCAAAGAAAAATATCTAGAAAAGTGACCTCAGCATGGAAGCATAAGAGTTAAAAACAACAAAATAAAACTTTTTCCCCTATGATTCTATAATTCAGGCAATTTCTACCAGTTCTCATTTACTGATAGCATGAAATCAGAAAAACACATCACAGTCTTGTACACTGAAAAATTGAAGAAATACAGGGGAGGGGGATTGGCAGCAAATCTTAAAAAAAAAATATCCATAATGTTAGGATCACTTCCCATCTCAGCTTTGTGTACTGGAAGCCCGCTTGCTCTCCTCCATTTTCTGGTGGAGCTAGAGAACATGACATGGCTTACCTGACTCAGATCACAGCTCTCTGCCAAATTAGTCACTTGCCTTTATACGTGCAAACAACTTCATGAGATATACACACACAGTCACACAAAAGTAGCAGTAGAAAGCACTCAAATGTCCTTCTGTTTCCAAACATTAGAAAATGAATGCAAGGGCCCCCGCCCCTTGGCGGTGGCCGGAGGGGCTCTTAACAGATCACATCTATAGGGAACTCCAGGATAATCTGTGTAAGATAGAAACCACAACGGGGGGAGGGGGAGGAGTGATGATTCTAAAAGACTAAAAGACAAAAATGCCGAAGAATGCATGTGTGTATGGGAGAGAAGCTTTCTGTTGTGGAGTCTAAACTGAAACCAAAGAAAACAGCTTACAACAGCTTATCTCCCTTTACAGAGAGATAAAGAAATGGAAAGAGGGAGAAATACAAGAAAGAAAGCTGCTCCGGGTGATGGGGCAAAGGTGCCGGGAAAACTC